ATGGTACGATCATGTTTTTAATAATTAGGTGTTTTTAAATGGTTATTATTCATAAAAAGTTGTCAGGACTTAATTTATTCCGTTCACAAGTTTGAGTTGTACTTGATTTTGCTGGTCATTATAGCCAAGATCTGAAAATTAGGTTTTTTCTGTCTGCTTGCTGTATTATTATCAGTATTTCATCATCCATGTTAGAACTTTTTTTTTTTTTGAGACAGGGTTTAGCTCTGTTGCCCAGGCTGGAGTACAGTAGCATCATTATTGCTCACAGCAACCTCAAACTCCTGGGCTCAAGCGATTCTTCTGCCTCAGCCTCCCACATAGCTGGGACTACAGGTGTGCACCACCACAACCAGCTGATTTTTCTATTTTTTGTAGAAATGGGGTCTCACTATGTTTGCTCAGGCTTGTCTCACACTCCTGGGCTCAAGTGATCCTCCCTCCTTGGCCTCCCAAAGTGCTAATATTATAGGCGTGAGTCACCTCACCCAGCCCATGATTACAATTTTTAAAGTGACAATTGCAGTATAACAAGAGGCAAAAGAAAAATATAGCCAGTCATTGTCTTTAACATTTTTTTAAATTCTTGCCATTAATGATTGGAACTTTGAGAAAGGAAGAGTTAAAAACAGATTATTAAGGTATTTTTTCTTTGCTAATTATTTGGCCTTATCTAGCCACATCATTAACTTTTGTACTTTTTTCTATAGCCCTCAAGCCCCCAAACTTGAGTGTTTAAATTGCAGGACTGATTCCTTGGTCCCAACCTCCCAGATTTTGATTTAATTTAATAATTCCGATGTGATCAGAAACCTCCATTGTTTCTTTTGTTTTTTTTTTTTTTTTTGAGACAGAGTCTCACTGTGTTGCCCGGGCTAGAGGGCCATGGCGTCAGCCTAGCTCACAGCAACCTCAAACTCCTGGGCTCAAACGATCCTACTACCTCAGCTTTCTTAGTAGCTGGGACTACAGGCATGTGCCACCATGCCCGGCTAATTTTTTCTATATATTTTTAGTTGTCCAATTAATTTCTTTCTATTTTTAGTAGAGACGAGGTCTCGCTCTTGCTCAGGCTAGTTTCGAACTCCTGAGCTCAAACAATCCGCCCGCCTCGGCTAGGATTACAGGCGTGAGCCACCGTGCCCGGCCTTTCTTTTGTTTTTTTTAGAGAGGGGAGGTTTAGCTTTGTTGCCCAGGCTGGAGTACAGTGGCACGATCATAGCTTATTGTAGCCTTTGAACTCCTGGGCTCAAGCAATCCTCCTGCCTCAGCCTCCGCAGTTGCTGGGATTATAGTCATGAGCCACCAGGTGCCCAGCAGAAGTCTGCATTTTAAACAGCCATCTTGGAGATTTTGAGAAACAGAGCTAGTCAAAATATGCAAATCTCTTTTTGAGCATTAGTTTTCTCATTTTGGAGGTGAATACTCCTTACCTGATTTTTCACAATTTTTAAAAGTAGCATAGTACATCATCAAGTGTATCTTTTGAAAATGTGACAAACGTTAATAAATATGTACTTAAACTAGGCATTAGTGATTTTATTCAGTTTAAGGGGAATGGCAGAGGCTTCATAAAGTGTCGTTATTTCATGTCAGTACACGTACCCACCCACCCCTCTCTGTAGAACTTAGAGGGTAAGCAATAATGATTCCTTTTGGGGCTTATCCAGCAATATTTCTCCCTTCAAGATGTATATGTGAAATAATTGTCTTAAGAGGTAATTGTTTTTCAGCATCAGATTTCCTTCTCTCTGATCATAGCATGCACCCTTATCAGTTTTCTTAGGAAAAATTAGATAAAATTTACATGAATCACTAGGAATAATTAGAGTTTGATTCGGCTCTGTGTGTGGGTTCAAGAAAGCTTATCTACTAACTGGTATATTTCCTGACTCTGTGTCCCTAACTAAATTTTTCTTTTGTTTTTTATTGGTATATTTTTATGAGGGAGAATTAACTTTTTGAAAGACAATAAATAGAATGTACTTAACTTTTTTCCATTTCTGCTCTTTTAAAATTAGGAATCAAGTACTGGAAATGTTTGATCATGCTTATGGTAACTATATGGTAAGTAGAAAGCTTATCCTTCCATACCATTTATGTGAGCTGGTATTATCTGAGTACAATCAACTGGGAATTTTGAAACCCATATTACTAGCACATTTTTTAAAAGGAAGGTTTTAAAAAGCAAGTCAAACATAGCCTAATAGTATTTCTGGTAGTGGTTCTTTGAGAACCACTTTGTTAAATAGGTAAGAATAAATTGAAATTAGGTTATGAAACTTTATATTTAAACAGTTTCCTTCAACACCATCAGTACTGTTCATAAGTGTTTTATATAGCTAGATATTTTGGATATAAACATGAAAAAGATGTTATCTCTGGCCTTAAAGGAATTTACTATCTTTATCTTTAAAAACTAGTGACAATATTACTTTATATACTCTACGAAGAAAACCATTGCTTAAAAGAGATAAACCATCACTTAGCCTCTGTCCAAAGTATATCTTTATAGACTCTGAATTGGATATATTTTGCTTTCTAGTATGCTGATCCATATTGTTTTAAAATGTTTTAGTGCTCACGTAAAATGAAATAGCAGTTTCAGTTTTACAAGATGAAAAGTTCTGGAGATCTGTTTCACAACAATGTAGATGAAATAGCTAGCAAATTTTAGAATTCACAAGAAAGTTTTGCATATAAATTTGTGTGATTTTGGAAAGTTTAATCAAATTATCCTTAGAATTACCTCTTATAACCTTGTTTTTACCTTTTAAAATATGTCAGCAGATTTTCTTTTAAGATTACAGCCTATAAAATGTAGTTGGGAAAAGTCTGGCAGAGAATTGACTTTAATTCTGCTTTAAATATTTTTCAGCTGATTCTGTGAATCCATTTTTCTTCGTACGTTAACCAAATATCTTCGTAT